ATATATATATATATATATGTGTATGGTGATAAATTAATTACAGATTATTAGGATTTGGATTTGATTTTCCGTATCGTTCGTGAAATGATCCACGCGCTTATTATTATTCTATGAATATTAAATTCAAGTGTTTCTCGATGACCTGTGTAATTAACTTATCTTTTTCATATTCTTAATCATTAATTTATCATAAACAAAATATTATAATAATTATTATTTTATTTATATATTTATTATTTATATTATTATTTTAATTTTATTATTATTATTATTATTATTACTTATAATTTATTATTATTGTACAATTATCAACGATTTTATTATTCCTTTCCTTTAAATTTTTTATAGAGGTAGCCCTCCCACAACACGGCATTCTATAACACGGTTGCGTCAGGGGTTGCAATTTGTTTTTCAATTTCAATTTTCTGAAAATAAAAGTCTCATACAACACGGTTTCATACAACTCACAACTCGGCATTTTCTAGGAACCTTATCTACCGTGCTATTGAAGGGTTACTCATGTATTTTCTTTTATTTTTTTTTTTTTAATTCCTTTTTTTCTCAATACAATAACAAAACTTTGTCGAAATATCGTACAAACTTGTTTAAAGTAACCAAATTTTTGATATACTCTAATATTTTCGATATTATTTTCATATGATAATAATATACATTTTTATTTTTCTCTTTTGAATTTTTTAATACTATTTTATAACAAGGAATAGTAGTAAGGGGGTGTTGTTCTTTTGAAAAAAAAAGAAAATATTCGAGTGGTAAAAGAAAAAGAAAAAGAAAAAGAAAATAGAACAAAGGAACAAGGAAAAACGTTGTTGACACATAACGTAACGATTAATTAACAAGCACGAAAATTCGCGATGATGCTACCCCAATTAGTGTTCACGCTATGGAAACTTATGAACTTGACATTAAATTTCGTACCAAACGAGGAAAACGTTAGCACGTTCAATTTGCACAACGTTTTATTTTTCCCTCAACGTTTAATATAAATACAAAGCTCTCTTTTACTTCAAAGAGATCGTCGTTTATGTATGACGTGTATACACACACACACTCTCTCTCACATATACTCACACATACACATACACAAATATACACAAATAAATACACACGTTTATACATACACATACATATACAGATATTTTATGTATAATTCGTGTATAACTCGTAATTAGATATCACTAAAATAACAATGGCATTTTATTATTTTGGGTGGGGAAAAAAAAAAAAAAATAAAACAAAAACATTTCTGGTCTTAAGTAAGTACGCAAACAAGTGTTATGAACGTTTAAATTATAGCAATCTAGACGAGTTGATTTTCTCATGTTTCATGCAATCGTGTGATTTGTATACCTTTGATACTACGCAAATGTATATATACCGAGTGATTCATCAGCTCTTGCCACCTTAATAACTCCGAAACTATGAAAGTAACAAAAAAGTGGATAAATAAAAAGTTGCATGAAAAATTCAGGACTACAACATGACATTAGTAATTTTTTGTTAGGTTAAATAATTTTCGAGATTTATTGATCAACTTTGTTTTTTTAAATACAATGTTATATTTTATTACTTATTTTCGGATAGCGGCTGACAAGACGAATCCAATGATGTGCAACATTAAATACTAAACTCGACAATGACTCAATAAAAACTATTCGGAAAATATCTGTTCCGTCCGTTGTCCACATGACGCAATTCTGACGCAACCCTGACGCAATCCTGACGCGACCATGACGCGGAAGAGCTGTATTGTGGCCGGTTTGTTCGCCAGTTTTCACCTTCCTTGACCTCCAAAAATATTAATGTTGCATATCATTGGATTCGTCTTGACAGCCGCTATCCGAAAATAAGTATTAAAATATAACATTGTATTTAAAAAAACAAAGTTGACCAATAAATCTTGAAAATGACTGAACATAGCAAAAAAATTTTAATGTCTTATTATAGTCCTGAATTTTTTATACAACTTTTTTTCAATAAACTTTTCTGCAATTGTCATATTTTCGAAGCTATTTAGTTGGTAATAGTTATTGAATCACCCTGTATATATAGGGTTATATATATACTGTAAGAGAAGATATTGCAAGTGAAACGTTATTCGAATATACTTATCTAAAATTATTAAATACGTCTATTTAAATATTTCACGAAAGATATGACTCGTGAAAAGATACTTTGATGATTTATGATAGAGGTGGAGGGTCGGGGGTGGAGGAAAGCAAATAAACGTGCTACGTTTAATGTTTTAAAAAATTAAAAAAAAAAAGTAAAATGTCATTTGATAAGATTTAGATTATTTATAGAGTGTATGAAATAAGTATTAGCGCACACATTTAAGAAAATACATATATTAGATTAGAGTAATTAATTAAACGTTTGAATCGGTAATATGGAAATTTTTTTTTTTTTTTTAAAGTATTAAACGTACATTGAATTATTTCTAATTGAAACGAGTTCAAACGTTTATTACAGTCGTTAGAAATTTATTCCCGTTCGTTTTCTTGACGTTATGAAGATAAAAAAAAAATCTTTAGATTGAGAGAGAGAGAAGGGGGGAGAGAGGAGAGGGACACATAGATTATAATATGCAAAAATTTGTACGATTAATACGAACGAGAGAACGATATTATAATAATAATAATAATTTTGATAATTAATTAACGTTATTTTCATACGAAAGAGTATGTAAATCAAGTAACATTTTCTAATTTCGCAGTCCGAGTCAGGGAAAAAATTGAGCGGTGGGGGACAGATGATGGTGGGGGCAAGTATGGTGGGGGGAAGGGGCCCTTTTTAAGTATCGGCACGTAAACCAAGTGACGACGAATTTCTTCTCTACGTGTTCAGATTTTCTACAAGAAAACATTCACCCTACTTTATCGATTTGTTAGTTGAATGAGAAAGAGAAAGAGAGAGAGAGGGAGAGAGAGAGAGAGAGAGAGAGAGAGAGAGAGAGAGAGAGACAGAGAAAATGGGTATAGAAAAGGAAAGAAGGGGATGAAGGGGGTTAGATCGGTTCATAAGTAGGAAGAAATAGAAGGGGAACGTAGAAATGCACACTCACACATCTAAACATATAAATATATATGTAGGGTGTCACAAATAATTGTATTCATGATTTTTCAAGTATTTGCCATAATCTGAGAAAAAAATTGTTTAAACAAAAGTTGATCTGTTTTTGATTGACTATAAATTGCAATAAAAACAAATTTAAAAAATGTTTTTTTTTAAATGTTTTTTAAGGTTATCTTTGTTTTTTTAAATGACACCCTATATGTTTGACTTTACAGTATTATAGCCCGTATTAATACGAATTCAATGAACTAATATACCATGACTTTGGATGACCTTTTTTTGTCAAATTATAACAAATACTTGAAAAATCGTGAATACAGTTATATGGGACACCCTGTATATATATATATATACTAGTATGATTATTTTTATTATTATTATTATTTCACGACATAGAGTGAATTTAATCGTGCGTGTTTAGACTTCTCGATAAAATCGATCCCCCCTAGCATTGGCAAAGTGTTTTGTACCAAAATACGACGAATAGAAAGTTTTACAGTGTTAGGGGGTGGTAGATAAGGGTTGGGAGTTAAAATAAAATGAACAGTTCATGGAAAGAGAGAGAGAGAAAAAAAGGGAGATAGAAAGATAGAAAGAGAGAATAGAAAAAAGGGAGAAATCCCGCAAGCCCCTTGTATTTATCCGGGTATGTACTTCCTCTGTCTGTCCCGTTACTTTTTGCCCTCTGAAACATCCCTTCGAAATAAAAGTCCTCTTCTTGTTTTTTTTTTCTTCTTCTTCTTCTTCTTTCCCTTCACCTCATCTCATCTCATCTCATTTCATCTCATCTCATCTCATCTGATCTCACTTCTGTCTTCTTTGCATTAGTCGTTCGTGTTTTTCTTGTTTTTTTTCTTTTTGAAAGCTAAAGGTGAGGATGACGTTGCGTTTTCTTTTTTTTTTTTTGCTTTTATTTTTCCATTGAACATTCTTTAAAAAAAAATATCATTTGATTGTTATGAACGCATATATGCGTTTGATAAAAATTACTAAGCTTATCGTTCGAAGCATATATGGTGTTTGTTAATATTAATGTTAAAGTAATTTAATATTAATATTAATTCAT